TGATCCAGTTGCCCAATTAGTTGCAAAAGCCCAATTGCCCCATTTCCTCACAAAATTAAGGATCTCTACTGCTTTACCTCTCTTTTAATCATGTGGAAATTACAGCATACCAGAATTTTAAACTTCCAATTTCAAAATTTAGATTCACAAGTTTTTATTTCAAAAATCAGATGATAATTAAAATTTTAATAATTTAATTTTTAAAAGTATAAAATTAAAACAAATAAAACCTCGATTCCAGCTCCCAGCAAACCATACATCTCTCTCCTTTTACCTCTCTCTTTCCCTTCTCTCTCTATCTCGCTCGCTCGCTCTCTCTCTCTCTCTCTCAACCACTGGAAATGAGGAGCTCCACTGCCACTATGATGCTGATGCAGTGGATTGAGCGACGCTGCTACGATCGTGCTCATGCTACTGTACGTAGCCGCCGTTGCACATTACGCCACGCAGCGGCGCTTGCCGAACAGGCTCTTCGCTGTGCAATGGCGCTTACCGAGCAAGCTTCTCGCTGCGCACAACGAGAATGACCTTTAAGATGTGGAAGATCAGATTGATGGAGTCGGATGTTGGGGCGAATTGGGTGGCGCCGTCGATGTTTACAGAGGCAGTATGAATCTCCGATTTGGGTGGCATTTTGGGAGGTTTAGAGGTGGACCTTTAGTGATGGATTTGGTGTGGGAAGAAGGTTATGGGAGGTTTTTAGTAGTTAGGTAAAACACTCAATTAGTTGATCTGGGAGAATTTGGGTTTATTTCTAATCTACTTGGGGGAAGAAGGTTCGGGGAGGTTGTGTTTAGTTAGGTAAAACACTCAATTAGTTGATCTTGGAGGAATTTGGATTTATTTCTAATCTTCCTCTGTTTTCTCTTCATCTTGTTTGTTGTGGTGTTGAATGCAATTGGTGCAATTGCAGTGGTGGTGCGGCTGCGGTTGCGGTGGTGGTGATGGCAGTGAGTTGTTGGTGTAGGTGGTGGGCGATTCCTACTAAACGGCGATTTGATGATCTATGGTGTATGTGTGCTGTTTTGTGTGTATGGAAACGATTGTGTGGTAGTAGTGGTGGCGACGGCGATGGTGAAGTAGTAGTGGTATTTGGTGGTGGTGTTGGTTTGTTTGAGATGGTGGCGGCGCTGGCGATTGTTGTGAGGTGGTGGTGGTTCTGGCGACAGTGGTGTAGTGGCTAGACGGTGTTGGTGGTAATGGGCCTGTCGTGGTGATGGGGGATTGGTGTGAGGATGTGGTGGTGATTTTTTACGATGTGTTGATTTGTTTGAGGTGGTGTTGCTGTCGGGAGGTGGTGGTGACAGTGGTTATGCCGGCAACGGTGGCAGTGGTGTTGCTGGAGGGAGTGGTGATGTAGTGGTTACAGATTAGTTGGTCGTTTGCGACCATTAAATTGGTTAATCTGCGACCAATAAACAATATGTGACCAATAAAAAAGATATAATGTGGCAGAAAAATTATGCGTGACCTAAAAAATTGTTAATTTGTGACCGATAATTAGACAATTTGTGATTGTCTACTAAATTGTGACTTATAATATTTGTGATTTGTGACCGATGAATAAATTGTGATGTATAAATTTTTTTATTTGTAACCGATGAACAAGTTGTGATTTATAAATTTTCTGAATTGTGACCGTATAATAATTTGTGACCTATAAAATTTTTGATTGTAAAATTGTGACTTATAAAATTTCTGATTTGTGACCGATGAACAAATTTTGACATATAAATTTTTTGAATTGTGACTGTAAAATCATTTGTGACGTTTAATTTTTTATTTGTGACCTATAAATTTTTTGAATTTTGACCGTAAAATAATTTGTGATATGTAAAATTTGTGATTTGTGACAAATTAATAATATGTGACCAATTATATAAAATTTGTGATCAAATTATGTGGAATTGTGACTTTAATATATTTAATTAATAAAATATATGTTTCATTAATTAATTTATAAATAAAATATAAAAAAATCTGAAATTAGAAATTTTAAACTTTATCTCTTAAATTTGAAATAGGTGAAACTTAACCTCTTAATTATGAAATTTTCCCTTTAATCATTTCCCATTTGCCCTAAGCTCCCGTCCCCACTCCCTAGAGAAGAATCAATAAAGAACTCCATTTCTGAGATTGCCATTGTTATTTTCCCACTTCTGCTCGTGTTTTGTGTCATAATTTTCTTCGGCCCAGATAACAAATTGACCGTCTGCTTGCTTGATTTTAAATATTTCTATTCTAAAATTTATTTGAATTTGAGAATAATTGTCGACTTAGCTTGTTATCTTGTGATTCTTGTCTGAAAGTTTTAACAAATGACACACAAACCTAATAATATTCATATTGTTTAAATGATTTTAGGAGATCGGTCATTGATTCATTGGTTAGCTTCGCTTGATTTTCAATTTTTATTATGTTTATATTTACTGTTGTTGTCTTAAAAGAAATTGGGGCTTAATCCAATCATCTTGGAAGAAAGGGAAGAGGAGAACAAAGAACTATCCGTATATTAACAAGTTATTCTATTTTATAATGTTGACTGATAAGAATCGGTTGTGTAATCAAAAGAGGAGATCAATGGTTAAGTGATAGTTTGGTTGTATATATTGAGAACTATGTACTCGACAATATTGATAATAATGTAATTATACGACGTTTTAAGAATATGATAACGCAAATGTTATAGTTGTAATAGTGTATTGACTTATTTTTCGTTAATGATATATTGTTTTAAAAAATTATATTTTAATTTTTAACCCCACAATACAAGACGTCTAGGTCCATTCTTAAGTGGGTGGACTCCTGTCCACTGCTCACTGTGGATAGAAGATTAATTCTAATAGCACCACGTGGACTCTTGCCATGTGGGTCAGGGGCGAATCCAGAAGATTTGTTCAGCTAGGGCGAAGTCGCGGAGACCGTTGACTGTTGACCGTTGACAATCAATGATCGCTATAGTCGTCCTTAATTTCCTAAAACCCTAAATTCCCAAATCACAATTCACATTACACAACTCAAAATTATAAGTCATAAACAATAATATGCCATAAATTCTTATTTCTCATTATTCGTAATTCACAAAAACTTAAAAAAAAAAAAAGAATGCACTATGCAGCACGGTGCGCAGGGCACCCAGTGACGGCCACTTCATTCTGAAGAACTTATATCAAGAACGAGGTGACCCATAAAATACTTAGCGAGACAGCTAAATGCTATTTACAAGATTTATTAAAAATCCATACAACGAGAAGAACACTAACACACACAAAAACTCAAAAAGAATAGATATTTGATATTTCCAATAAACAACCTCATTTCAACTTTGAGGCCCTCAAAATCCAGAATCACAGTCCACACCACATACTTCACAAATTCATAATTCACAGAAAAATCTAGGTCCACAAATTAGTAATCACAACTTTGACAAAGGCAAGATTAAGATTCAAGAATCCAAGACAAGATGCCAAGATTTTTGAGGTAATACATTCGATTTCGATTTTCGAAGCACCAGCCGGCAGCCTCCAGCACTTCACGTCTGCACCAGACCATCGACCTCCTACCACCTACCACAGTCAAAGACTCACAGGTACAACCATTCAGCCATAGGATTTTCGCCCTCGTTCATAATCGTCAGTCGCTACTCTCCCCCTCTCTCTGCTGGACAAACAATAGGTAAATGGAAATGGAAATGGTAATTGATTTGGATTTGGTTAAATTGGATAAGTTGTGTGGGCTAATCACTAATGGATTTACAAGTTTCAATTGGGCCTTTTTTAAGTAAGGCCCAAAAAAAATTAAAACATTATAGAAACGGAATTCAGAAGAAGGCTAGATAGAGACAGCAACAGCTCTCCTTCAGTCCTTCTTCCCGGAGGACGGCAACTTGGCGGCGAGAACCTGCAGCTTCCGGCGGACCCAGCACGGGCGACCGCGGGGGCTGGCCAGGTGCTGGGTCCACCCCTGACGTGGGTCCATCCTTAAGTGGGTGGGTCAAGTCACTTTTTTTGACAAATCAAAAAAATGGTTTGACGCGGGTGGACTCTTGCCCATTGTGGATAGAAAATCAATTCTAATAGAAAAATCAATCATGCTATAAATATAGAAAATTTTGATAAGCAACATATAGTTTGGAATCAATGAAAGATGGAGACAGAAAAAAAAAATCCAATCATGCGTCGTCACATCAACATCGATACGAGTTCTATCAAAAAAATTTCGTATAGATTTTCGTATAGTAGAGATGGCAAAAATCCGACAAACCCGATACCCGTGGAGTCCTGCCTTGAATGGGGTAGGGATAACCCGTTTAATCGAGTATTTGGGGCGGGGACGGGACGGACGATTTTGCTCCGTGGCGGGTTCGGGTAATGGGAGCCCCGCCCTTTTTAATTTTTTTTTAGAATTCAGTATTTTAAATGAAAAATTTCACCAAATTTCATTAGTTCTAATAAAAAATGACAATTAAAATTATTTCTAAATTTAATGAATGTGAGCAATAAAATTAAATTATCAAAAATTTAAAAAAAAAAATTAAAATTAAACGGGGTAGTAAACGGGCGCCCCGCCCCGTCCCGTCCCGCCCCTCCTTAAACGGGTAATATGGCGGAAAATTGCTTGACGCCTGCGGGGCGGGAGAGGTTGCCCCGATCCTACCCTGTTGCCATCCCTACCGTATAGCTTTTTCCTAGAAAAATAGAGCAAAAAATTGGACATTTCTCATAATTTTATCGGTGAAAAATAGACTTTTGAGATACGCAGCGACCGTACGCCATACAAACTCCCCTTTCCCCACCTATCCACCAAAAGTATAGCTACCCAAATCTCCACGTGTTTCATATTCACTGGTCAATTCTCTAGAATCGTTACACCTCTTTTTCCTCCATTTTACAATCATATCAAATCAAATATTTGATACTATTCTGATTCTCTCTCTAAATAAATTGAAAACAAATCTCACCTATTTTTTTTTCTCAAAAAGTTCCAATTCGATTTTGAGAATGAATGATAATATAGATTCGTTCAATGAGAGTTGCTGGCACGACTTTGATTATAGCAGCCTCTTGAACGACGTCCCACCCGTTGATCTTCATTGGCATTCTGAATTGCAGCCCCAATGGTGATAACTTGTTTTCAGATTTTTTTTTTTTTTAAGTATCTAATTTTTTTTCTTGGACCATACCATTGCCAAGCTAGTAACTTTTATTTTATTAATGTGATTTTTAATATAAAAATGTGCCATTTAAACTTGTGGATTTGTGGAACTGGAAAGTTTTAAATCAAGAAGAGGAAAGGTGGATTTTTAATGAATGAGGAGGAAATGTAAAAAAATTCAGCTACTTTCACTTAAGTAGTAATAGAGTTTTGGTTTTTGAAATGTATCTTACTGATGCAGGCGATTAATCATTCTGATATGGTTTACAAGAATAAAAATGTAGATTATTGTAAAGTTCCTGTATATTGTTCTGATATGGTTGATTATTCTGTAGTGGCGTAAGTGCGGGAATCGAAGTCTCGGGTTGTGGAAGGGCATCGCAAGTGAGTGAAGATGCTATGAGAGAATGTCCAAGAAAGAGGTAGCTTTTTTTTTTCCTTATCTTGTCTTTCGGATCTTTTCCCTGTGGAAGAAGCTCTTTGATTACTATATTTAGTTGTTGAGAAGGTTAACTTCAATTTTTACTTCTTCTGTTCTGCAATTTATTATGGTATCAGAGCCACTTTTTCTCTGATTTTTTTTTCTTCACAAATTCCATTCCAAACACTCAAAACTCCAGCAACAATTTCAATGTCCAAAGAAGATCAGTCCCATTCCAAACACTCAAACACCAGCAACAACAATTCAAGCATGGACCCGTCCAATCCACTCTTTGTTCATCATTCAGATCATCCTGGCCTCATGCTCGTCCCAACAAAATTGAATGGAACCAACTATCAATCATGGAGTAAATCCATGATCCATGCTCTGACAGCCAAGAACAAAATAGGTTTCATCAATGGTTCCATCAAACCTCCATCAGAAACAGAGCAGCCAGCTGAATTTACTCTCTGGAATCAATGCAATAGCATGATTTTATCATGGCTCACTCATTCAGTAGAATCAGATTTAGCCAAAGGGGTCATTCATGCTAAGACAGCCTATCAAGTATGGGAAGATTTCAAAGATCAATTTTCACAAAAGAATGCACCAACTATCTATCAGCTTCAGAAATCCTTAGCATCACTTTCACAAGGTAATATGTCTGTATCCTCATATTACACAAAGCTTAAAGGGCTATGGGATGAGCTAGATTCATATCGAACCATCCCTCATTGTGATCAATTTAAAGCACATATTGAGCAAAGAGAAGAAGATCGAATGATGCAATTTCTCATGGGTCTCAACGACAACTACAACAATGTTCGTAGCAACATCCTCATGATGTCAAAGCTGCCCAATGTGCGTCAAGCACACTCCCTTGTTATTCAAGAAGAAACACAGCGACAAATGACATCCGAGAGTATAGAGAACTTTTCCATTGCAGCAGCAACTCAAAGCCGCCAGAGCAATTATTCAAGCAAGCCCAAAGACAAGCATTGCGATCATTGCAATAGAGATGGCCATACTATTGACAACTGTCGCACTTCGAAATTTTATTGCAAATTTTGCAATAAGAGAGGTCACAGTGAATATAGGTGCAAATTCAAAAATGGCACTTGGAATTNGTATATCATCAACATAGATAAGGACTGCAGTAAAAGAAGTACCTCTCTCTTTGGTGAAAAGGGAGTAATCGGCTTTTGACTGCCGATAACCGGCTTTCTGAATGGCAGCGGAAAAGGTAGAAAACCAGTTTCTTGATGCTTGTTTGAGACCATAGAGGGATTTATTAAGCCGACACACAAGATTCTCCCCCTGTCGGCGAAGACCAGGTGGAGGCTCCATGTATACGACCTCTTGTAAATCACCATGAAGAAAAGCATTTTGAACATCTAACTGATGAATGAACCAATGACGTGCGGAAGCAATAGCAAGAAGGCAACGAAGTGTAGTGAGCTTGGCAGTGGGAGAGAAGGTCTCATGGTAATCAATACCTTCAACTTGAGTGTATCCCTTAGCAACAAGGCGAGCTTTATGACGCTCAATAGTGCCATCAGATCGATATTTGATTTTGTAGACCCACTTGCAGCCAATGGGTTTATGACCAGCCGGTAGAGGAACCATACTCCAGGTGTGATTCTGCTCTAATGCTGTTAATTCAGCTTTCATCGCATTTTGCCAATTTGGATCAAGGATAGCTTGAGCATAAGAGTGAGGTTCGGTATGACCTGTAATGTTAGCTAGAAAGGTACAATGGGCAGAAGATAAACGAGAATATGAAAGGAAATGAGAAAGAGGATATCGAGTACCTGATGCCGAACTTGGTGTCGAGGTTGAATGGTCGGCTTGAGCAGACAAAATGTAGTCTTTGTGCCATGTCGGAGGTTGCTTTGGACGAGTGGATTGACGTATAGGGGGATTAAGGGAAGCTGGTGAGTCTGTATGTGGCGTAGGGAAAAGGTTAGGCATATTGGAAGAATGGGCTGTGTCTGGTGAAGGTTCAGTCAATCGAGATTGTAAATGCTCGGAATCTATCTCTTGAGGGTCATTGTTTTCTGGTAAGGGAATATGAGCATGACTGGGTGGTTGATCGGGAGGAGATGGTGAAAGAAGAGGTGAAGTGTCTAGGTTAGAATTGGAAGGGGAAAGCAAGCGGTTCGTGGCATCATGCGAAAAATACGGTAAAACGAAGTCGGAATCAGGGTGAGAAGAAACCGAAGGAAATGTGGTTTCGTAAAATTTGACATCTCGACTAACGAAAAAATTTTGTGTCTCCAAATCATAAAGTTTGTAACCTTTCTGACCAGTGGGATACCCAACAAAAATGCATTTTTTAGCACGTGGTTCAAATTTATGAATGGGATGAACAACAGTTGCGTAACATAAACAACCAAAAACTTTCAAATGATGGAGTGATGGTGGACGATTGTGCAATAATTCGAAAGGTGGCTTATTAGATAGCAATGGTGTAGGGAGTCGATTAATAAGATATACAGCTGTCAATATGCATTCACCCCAAAAGGTAAGAGGGAGTCGAGATTGAAAAAGTAAAGCACGTGCAACAGTTAGAATATGACGATGCTTTCGTTCAACCACTCCATTTTGTTGTGGAGTATAGACACAAGTACGCTGATATTCTATGCCATGTGATTGAAAATAATTTTTCATGGATAGAAATTCAGAGCCATTGTCTACCCGGATAGCTTTAACGGAAGCATGAAATTGAGTATGAACAAAAGTAAGGAATGATCGTAAAATAGTTTGAGTTTCGGATTTGAAATGCATAAGAAATACCCATGTGCATCTTGTAAAATCATCCACAATAGTGAGAAAGAAACGTGCCCCTGAATGTGTAGGAGTTTTGTGAGGACCCCAAATATCACAATGCAATAAATCAAATGGAGCATGAGTTGATATAAAATTGGAAGGAAATGGTAATCTAGTTTGTTTGGCCATAGGACAAACATTACAATTATTATCAAATGAAACTTTATTATTGGGAGACAATAACGATGATATTAGTTTTAGTCGAGATGGGGACGGATGTCCAAGACGCATGTGCCATAGGTTGGAAGGTTGAGAAACGTGATGGGAGGTAGGTGTCCTTTGCAACGGAGACATGTAATAAAGACCACCATGTTGTTTACCCGAGCCAATCATCTTCCCCGTAGCCAAGTCCTGCAAGACACAGAAAGTGGGAAAAATAATGGCACAACAATTTAGGGCAGTGGTGATTTTACTAACAGACATTAAATTTAAATTAAAAGATGGGACACACAAAACTTTGTTTAATGTGATATTAGAGTTAAATGGTATAGTTCCTGTAGAAGTTATTGAAGCTGAAGATCCAGTAGGTAATTTTACAATTGGTGTTGGTGACATGTCTGTATGGGTGAAAAGATTGGAATCTGTAGTAATATGGTCTGTTGCCCCGCTATCCAATATCCAAGGCTTAGTGAAAACAGAATTAATAGCACTGGAAGAAGAAAACAGACCTGTTAGAGCCGATTCTGTAAGAAACTTTTGTTATTGAGAAGTTGAAGAATGCTGAACTGGCACTGGTTCTTTGTGGCTATTATGGGCAATGCTGGCCTGGGTATGAAGAGATGATCCTGCACAGGATTCATAATATTCTTCATCTCACGTCTTATTACTGTTCACCTAAAAATGAAAAGCATGATATCTTCCCTTGGAGGAAAATGTGGAAAAAAATGCTCCTAGTACCTTTTCCAATTTAAAAAAAATTGGACTCTGAATTTATTGGAAAATTAATATTTGAGTTGAATTTATTGGAAAATTAATATTTGATTTGATATGAAAACAAGTGTGATTGTGACCAAGCCTTGTGATCAAAACTTTGATGTATACATGCGCGTTTATGTCTACAGGCACGAGGATATATTCATGGGATTTCCCATAATGGTGTCTATAATGAACACTTGGAAGCTCCCTATTGGGGGGGGGGGGGAAAGCCTCCATGTATCCATTATGGACACCATTATGTTATGGGCTATGTACCCATATCATAACCCTATATTCATACATAGAAAAGAACACATATGGTTATGCGCGCACGCGCGCACACACACTATTGTTTAGGGAACATTTTAAATACCATACTCTCATGTTACAACCAGTAAAAAGGGGTGGAAAATGGGCAGTCATCACACTTCAAATCAGGGCATCAAGTGTTATGAATATTAGCTTTGTCAAGCTTTTAGATATAAAACTGGATTATCAATATTTAGATATCAGCTTTTTGTATTAGAATTTATTAGTTCTCTATCATTTATTTTTTATCTTCTCGATGTTAATTTAAAGGACAGAACTTAATGAATTGCTTTTAGTCAATGAAGGATAATTTTGAAATGTTACTTCAAAGCAATACTTGCTAATGTCCTCCTTTAATTGTTGTCGTACTATAAAGGGGGAGGAATGATGCATTCAGTGCAGTTGGAAGTAAAGCTTGCCGTGAGAGAATGAGGAGAGAAAAATTGAATGACAGGTATGTATATTGTTAAATTGGTATTCTTTGTTGATATTTCCTATTTCTCTTGGTCATTGTAAATAACTGCTTCAAAATAAATTCTTTGTTGATATTTCATATGACTGCTTCAAAATAACCGCATTTTCATTCCACACCAGTAATGAAATGTAAATTACTTTGCTTAATGTCGTTATATGCAATGAATACTGAATGCAGTCAATGGATTATGATTGATTGGAGAAAAACAGAGTGTAACAACTTTCATAAAAGTAAAGAAGCATGAATTAGCTTAGTGTTTTTCAGGGAAGAATCATATCTGTTCTTGCAGGTTCTCAGAATTGTGCTCTATTTTGGAACCTGGCAGACCTGTGAAAACCGACAAATTGGCCATACTTGGTGATGCCATCAGAGTTCTAAATGAGCTGAAGTCTGAATCTCAGGAATATGAAGAGATGAACAAAAAGCTTCTGGAAGAGATCAAAATGTTGAAGGTTAGACAGATGCTTATGTAGCATTCATTGAAATTGATATTTCTCTTTTCATTTTTTTATGCTGGAAACTTGTGGCATTACATATCATACAACATTATTGATATATATTGTTGTTTTCTGGTTTTGACTATCATTTTATTTTTGCTTTAAATTTCTTTTCAGTGATCTCTAATTCAGTTGTATAAAAGTATGACCAAACAGCGCTTTGCTTGCATAGAAAATTTGCTAGGAAATTCAATTTACCAATTCCCTTTTTACACAAGTGGAATTGCATTTGTTTTAGAATGTTATTTAACTTATTTTGAAATGTAAAGTTTCTATGATTTTTAAGCGTGAATACAATTTTCCATGTTGCAGACACTAATTGGTCGCATTTGAAGCACATATTGAGAGTTTTTATTGGTAGCCTGGAAGAACATAGTTAAATTGTTGTTTTGTTTACTTGAACTTTAAAAGTTCTCTTTTATTTTAACAACTTTTTCTCATGACGAGTCCTTTCAAAATGGCAATGATTTTTAATTATTATTTATAAACGATAACTATGAAAGAACGAACCTTCCCTTCACCACCAAAAAACATATTGAGTTACAAACAAAGAAAGAAATGCCTCTTCAGGGAAATAGATTATCTATATTTTGTATTTGAGATTTTTTGGTACAGTCACTTTGATATTTTTGATCTTCAAACAGTAACCTCCCCCTGCTCCACTTCGTTCTCCCTTACCGGGAACATATTAGTACTACTGACTATACATTGTGCATAGATGCTTTCTACACCTTTGATCTCATATTCTTTTCTATTCTAAAACAGGTAGAGAAGAATGAACTTCGTGAAGAGAAACTTGTACTTAAGGTGGACTGTGGACAAAGAAAGGATTGAGCAGCAGATGAATGCTATGACTGTTTCTCCTGCTGGGTTTGTGCCAGCCCATCCACCAGTATATCAGACTGGAGCCAACAAGATAGCAATGTTTCCTGGCTACAATTTTGTCCCACTGTGGCAATATCATCCTCCATCTACCAATGATACATCTCAAGATCAGAAGGATATAGGTCGTGCTGCTTGATATACGTGTGCAAGGCAATTTGCAGCTTTTTAAGAAAGTTCATTGTGCAATTTAGGAAATTCAACTTCCATGTCATGCATGTAAATATTAGTTAGTTTGCAATTTGTTTGTCCTATTACATTTTTCTTCTTTTCTCCCTTTTTTTT